AGAAATGCTTGATTTGCATTTTTTTAGTGAATTCTTTCTATAACATGAAATAAGGAAGAAGAAACTCACTTATTACTGCTTGCTTACCTACTACCCACTGGAGGAAAAGGTCAGGTTGAAGAACATCTGAAGAACCTGGAGGTAGACAAGTCCATGGGACCTGATGAGATACATGGTAGGATTGAGTGCACCCTCTTCAAGTTTGCAGACACCAAGCTGCATAATGCAGCTGATGTGCTGGGTGGAAGTGATGACATCCAAAGAGACCCTGACAGGTTTGAGAGGTGAGCCTATGTGAACTTTATGAAATTTGACAAGATTTGTATTTGTGCTTACAATTACCCTGACCCAGGGCACTTGCATTTGTCCTGGGCTGCAAGTGGACATTGCAGAGAATGGATTGAGAGCAGCCCTGAGGAAAAGGACTTGGGGATGCTGGTTTGGCAGAAGCTTACCATGACCCAACAATGTGCTCTTGAATGCCAGAAAGCCAAATATATCTTGAGCTACGTCCTGAGAAGGGTAACCAGCAGATCAAGGGAGATGATTCTTCCTCCTCTACTCTGCTCTCATGAGATCCCACCTGGAGTGATGCATTCAATTTTGCAGCCCCCCAACACAAAAAGGACATAGACCAGCTGAAAGAAGTTCAGAGGAGGTTTGTAGAGATGATCAGATGACTAGAGCCCCTCTCCTAGGAAGGTGGACTAAGAGAGTTAGGACTGTTTTCCTAGAAAAGAGAATGCTCTACAGAGACTGTATCAGCCTTCTGGTACCTACAGAACAGCTACAAGAAGGCTGGAGAAGGACATTTTACAAAGGCATCTAGTGATAGGACAAGAGGGAATGGTTTTTAACTGAAAGAGGATAAATTTAGACCAAAAATAAAGAAGTTATTTACTGTAAGGATGCTAAAGCACTGCAACAGGTTCCCAAGGTTGGGGATTCTCCCTAAAAGTGTTCAAGGCCAGGCTGGATGGTCTTGAGCAGCCTGGTATAGTGGAAGGTGTCCCTGCCCATTGCAAGGTTACTGGAACTAAATGACTTTTAAAATCTCTTCTAACCCATACCATTCTGTGATTTTATGATTCTGAGTATTGTTTAAACCTATATATGCTAAATTCCCCTTAGAATTATTAATAACATTTAGACCAACATTCCTAAATTTGCAATTAAAAATACATATTAACAAAAAGATGCATCTATTCACATGGAGACCTTTCACAGGGTTCTAGAAGTAAAATAATATTTATTTGGAATTTTCAAGCCTTACATATTTCTGCCTATATTCAATGACATAAATGAGCACATGAATAGCTTCATTGTATGTACAGATCTTTTGACACTTCACAAAAAATTGAAAATAAAGTGTAAACCTCTGAACTAAAACTTATTCTAAAAATTACATATGTTATCTGTAAATATTATGATGTATCATAGCAAAAGTACCACATATATTTCTATGTGTTTTTAATTACAGAAAAGTTTACTATTATCATTTTCACTCTCTGACTACTTCAATATTTCCTTGAAATACAAACAGCTCTTTGATAGAAAAATGTGAAAGAGGAATTTGATGACTTAACTTGAAATACGTAAGAAAAACCTTACAGTGTTGAGTTAGCACTATGCTCAGCAGAGATTAAAAGGTAAAGGATGTTTCACAGCAAGAAATATTCTGCTGTGTATCTGAAAGGTTGCAAACGTGATTAACTGTGGCAGGTCTCATGTGCTCCACTCATTAATCTCACACCTGGTAATGCATTAGGGATGGCAGGAGTAAATATGATGAAAAAGCGCCATTTCATAATGCCATACAACATTAAGACAAAAAAAATAAATTGGGGTTTGGAAACTTTGAAAAGGGATTATTAGCATTAGTGTTAGTTGCTGATATGCTATTGTTATTAGTATTAGCATTGTGATGATGGTGATGAAGATGATGATGATTACAAAATGCTGCAGATAGGTTTAGATTCAAAGTCATCAATATTTATGAATATTTAGGATAAAATCCTCAAAAGTATTTCTAATGGCATCTTACTGGTTACTGGTATCCATATGTACCCAACATATGTGCTCTGGAAGAAGATCACTTACTAGACATTATGGCATATGTCACCTTGGAAAGGGGGGCACTGCTTACCAAACTCCTTAAATATAATCTTTCTCATTTGTGCACTAAACATGATTTAGGTAAAAATATTATAAAATAAATCAAAAAAGAGGTTAATTTATCCCACCCTAAATAAGATTTTACCAAGTATGCACTTAAAATGTGACATAATTTTAACAGAATTCTACTTCATTTTGACCTGAGTAGGAATCTGCTGACTCTAGGTATGTTTCCAGAGTCCCAATAAACACAGCGATTCTTCACTGTCTAGGAGGCAAAGGGGCTTTATTGATATTGAACACCACACATACACACACACTATCCGCCCCACCAATAGCTTTTTTTACAGACTACTGCTGCACCATATGGGATGTTTGAAATAAACCAAATATTGTAAAAGTTAAGAGATAACTGCACAATAGAATTTTCTAAGCAGTTGTTTTACTTCATTGTTTTAAAATGATTACCACTTTCGCTTTTACTGTTTCAGATTTACATCATGACTTTGCTCTATATTTCTTCCTTTCCCCTAGGGCATGTTCTTCTCCTCCTCCTCTTACCTGCTCAATCTCAGTTCACTTCAGTTTTACCTTTAAGCAATTCTTTCTCCACACTGTAGTGTCTTGTCTTTCTGGTCATTAGCCATCTTTCTCTCTCTTTAGTAATAAATGGACAGTACCAGTATAGCATTAATATCTTAAGTAATGCTCAAATATTTAAGAGAATAGTGTTATTAACACATCAATTTCTTCTTGGATGAAAGATTGATGGCATATTTAATGATAAGAAAGAAAGACTCTCTTATTTCTAAAGAAATATTTCACTAGACCACTTGGTCTCACACAGTTTGGAGCTGTTTCACTCAAAGCCGTGGTTTGCCTTGGCTGCAACGCCTACATGGTAGCTCACTTGCAGGTGGGCTGTTAGTGGACAAACCATCAGTGTGGGCATCCTGTCAAATGTGTTTGGTTTCATTCTATCCACAAAGATACAATATATCACATACATAGATTTCAAATATTATAAAACCTTTTGCAGCAATTCTGCTTGTCAAAGATAATTAGAAAATTGGGCCTTGATGAGAGGGACAGTCTTTTTCAGGTATGTTTAAGCTATTATCTAACAGCTTACAAAAAATGCATCTAAATTTCCATCTGTGATTCCTTCTTTCTTTCTGTAGTCTGGTCTCATCTGTTGGGTAGTGAAAGTAATGTAATTTCATATATAGTATTAACAAATACATTTATCATTCATACTTTCTCAAGGTTTTCTCTACTGTTATCTCCTATACCTGAGGAATGCCTGAAGTGTCTACGGATGACATAGCCTAAATCAGAGGACAAAATTATGATTAGCAAGAGAAACAAGCCAACTTCCACACTAATAAGCAGATTGCTGCTATGTATGTAAAAAAAGAAGTATTATTTTCATTTTCTGTCATCAATATTTAAAAGATAAATATGAAGAAGGCAAATGACAATCATTTGACTGCAATAAGTTATGACTTTTGAACACACACAATTATTATGTATTTACATGTTCAAGGTGACTACAGCAAAGGTTAAGACATAACTTAGCAGTGTCTAATTCAATGCAATCCTTGAAAAATAATGGTGCTATATATGTCTGGTTAAATTGCTTAGAAAAAAAATCAAAAACTCAACTTTTTTCTCTTTTACAATCTTTTATAAATTAATGTCTCTAAAACTGCTAAAATAAAGAGCACATTGCCCTAACATTCATTTACAGAGGAAAGTTTTAGAAAACTCAGTCATAAAAAATGTTTAGCACCTCTAAAATATCTATAATTCACTGCAGTAGACAAATAAGAAAATCCTAAATTTTTAATAATGGAAAAGATACAATTCAACAGTGAGTGGATGATATATTACTTAAATTCTGCAATTACAAGGTATTAAAACAACCATTGTTTCATTCTAAAGAAATAAAACTACATTAAACCTTTAAAATTAAAATAATTTTATACATTTCCACTACCCTGTATTGAGATCAGAATAAAAAATAATATAGTAATTTAGAAAAATAACATACATGCCTAGAAAAATAGTTCTAAACTATTGTGGATATAAAAAATTGCCATCAAAATGAATCTTCAACCATGTTTTCACTTTCAGGAAAATTTAATCCACATTATTTTTCCATCAAGAAAGACATTTCAGACAATGTTTCTCTTGCTTGCTTTTTCTTCTATACTTAAATCCTAAAATAAAGGTAAAATAATGAAATAATTTATAAGATTATTCAGAAATTATTACAAGAAGTAGATTTTAATTTTTTCCCTTCAACTACATAAAACCTTTTCAAGCCACTTAACACATCATGGTAAATTCTGATGATCTTTTGTTGTTAATGCCTATCAAAAATATATGTTAATTGCCTATTGTAACTTAAATAAATTAGATGTTCTCAAAAATGCAGCATAATTCTACAGAAGCCCAGTGTTTTCTTCAGAATGACAAAAGACTTACAAAGATAAAGGTCAGTAAGTCCTGTGCAGAGTTCATGTTTATTCACTCTCTGACTCATTAACAAATGTAAAGCCTATTGGCTTCTGTCTTGTTGAAAGAATTAAGGATATAATCCCAAAAAATACTGATTACTTCCAGCCTCTGGCTATGCAGTAGGACTATCATGAGGAAAAGAACAACTCACCTTAGCCAGTTTCTATATAAAGATGCAAAAATACAGACACAAAGCAGAACCATCAATGGAACAACATGAAAGTTCTGAACTGCATTGTGATTGTGTAAATTCTGATGCTGATTTTCCCCATCTGTATTTACCTCTTCAACAATTTATTTTGGGAAGAAGATTTCAGTGTTCAGAAAGTCTCGAGAAATTTATTTATTTCTTCTTCCTACAGGTACAATTGATAGCAGCTTTTTCCAGTACTTGGTGCATGTCCTTAGAAGGTAAGGACAATCAAGTAATGACAAAAGGACTGTAAGGTTTAAGCTCAATGTGTTTGCTTTCTTATTTTTGTAGGAATTTTTTTCTTCCCATCACCTCTCCCCTGACAAAGGTCGTATTATTTATCATTACAGGTTTTTTTCTCTGAAAACTATTTAGCAAATGGAGGATTTATTTGGGTTCAATATGTTTGTGCATTTACTGCACTCCCAGTGGTTTAGTTATACAAAAATAAGAATGCTAAATAAATTATATGTAATGTCCCACTAACCAGATTTATTATATTTCTTTGCTTGTCCTGTTCCTAAAATGTAGATTATATTTAGAAGTTTCTAATAGTAAGTTCACATCTGTTTTCAGGTCAGTTTTTTATTTCCCTTATCTTGTAATTTTCTTTGTAGTCTTGGGATGTAGTGTTTTGTAGTTTCTTTCCCATTTAAATTTCTGTAATGTTGTTAAGCCATTATAATATTTTCCTTGTGATCATTACAAATTATGAGTCCTTATTACACAGAAATTGAAGAGTTTCACAATCTAATTTCCCACTGGCAAAAAAAAAAATTCTCCCTCATGAATTGTTTATTTTCTTCCAGACAATCTTGGTGACATGTGCTCTTTGTAGAAACCTATCCATGGATTTATTAATAATTTACAAGATTTTTTTCACCAGAATGGGCATTCCTAGTGTCACTGCTACAAAAATGGAAAGTATCAAAAATAATTAGATGTACTAATTTTCATAGTTCATGCAGTTGACACTTTTACTTTGCAGCTTTGTTGCCAAAACTGTACAGAAGTGTTGTTAAAGTATATGGTTTCTTGGAATAGGCTACATCTCACACATCCAAATTTTCGCTTTATTTGGAATTTGTCACTTCAGTTAGAAAAATACTAGAATCTCATAACTCAGGAAGCCTATTAGAATATCAACAAAATGTGTGAGGAGCAAGGAGAACTCTGTATGCAGTCTGAAGAATTCTCTAGAGTTAATTGTTCTTTGTAGACAACTCTGTGTGAACATGCAGATACCAGCATTCCACATTTTGATTCACAGTCTGGATACAGAAACACAGAGCTGAACAAGCTCAGAACAGATACCTTTGGTCTGATCGTGTCTAATTAGCACTGGTAGTACAACATTTTATTACATAATAAATTGCTCTATCTCCAGTGCAACCAGCAGGTAACAAGAACTCTTACGCTGAAAGTCAGAATCTTGAGGTGCTTGCACTCCCAAAATAACATTATAACCAATGCTGGTAACACAACAGTTGGAGATGAAATTAAATCAGTGTAGAAATGATGGACCTCTTTGAAATGTAAATTAGCTGGAAAATGCATTCTGGAATACAGGTGTTCCTCTTTCTAATGCCCTAAAGTCACTAAGCATCATTCCCAAGAAATTTGCTCACTGAATCATTTTGAAGCTGCTTATAGTGGGGAAAAAAACATAAATCTGTGGTCTGCTGCCTTATTATAATCACAAAGAAAAGTAACACTCAGTGCTAAGGAAATTATTAGTATGCCCTCTGGAAAATTAAAGCTGAAATCTTCAGTGGAAAAAATAGAATTTTTATAATGGTGGTAAACCTAGTCCACTCTCTCCCTATTCTTCCTTTCTCCTCCCAGTTCCAGCCCTTTTTCTGCCCTTTCACCCTTAAGAAAAAATGACAATTGAACTACAAAGCACAGCCTCTGTCAACAGTCCAGATGTGTAAAAGTTGATCAGACTAGAGCACATACCAGAAACAGCTTTGAGGCATTCAAAGATTACAGAAAGGCCATCTGCCAATGTTCTCTTCTGCTCAATATCTCTGTAACCATCTTTAAAAGCTCAGCTGTTGTTGATCTTTCAGCATCAGAACAATAATACTCTTTCCTGTCCAAAGGACCCTGATGACAATTTTATTTGGTGAGTTACATGAAATTACACATAATTTTCATCAAGACAATCATCTTGATATGTCAGCTGATCTTCTGCTGTACTCTCCTTTTGTTTGTCCTCTCACCAGATTGAAATAGGAACAAAAGTTTTGACTGCTTCTCAGGGCATGCACTTATTTACCCCCTGGGATTTATAAGAAATACATAGAAGTGCACTTTGAAAAAATAAAGAGTAAAGTTGAATTCTTGAATTCTCAGCTGGTATGAAGTCAAAGTCACACAAACAACTTTTGCCTATGGAATGTGAAACACTCAACAGAGCTCCTAGATACATTATCATGCATGCAAAGCCTTTCATAGTCAAATCCTTCTGAGTTCCATTGCACATGCATATCACGATATTGAAAGTGCAAGCAGGGTACAAATGCTTGTAATGTTCATGTTCCCATAGTACTTAGGGAACTTTAATGAATACATGTATAATTCATTTAAAAGGAGATAACTGGCATGTGGCATACCAGGAACTGTGACCTGTTCCATTGATGTTAATGATAACAGCCTCAGCCAACTGCAGTAATGAACCTCCTTGAACCTTATGGTAGCTCATATATTTTCCTCTTGCTATAAATGTTTTATTTTACCTGATACAGTAATGAAATTGTCAAGATAATGAACAGAGTAATCATTTCACACAAATGGCTAACTTTAATTAAAAATCATAGTGTTGATTGCTAGAATATGGGAGTAACAGGCCATTGATCAGATTACAGATCACTGATAATTGAGATGTGGCTATAGATGCAAAGACCTGTGAACTCTACCTTACTGAAGGACATAATGTGTGCTGTCAGTAAGCAGAAGTCTCAACACATCATTAGCCCATATATATGTAATTCTTTGCTCGGCTGTTAAATCTGCAAGGACAAATATTGCCTGTTAGACCACCTCCAAAGTAACAGTGTGAATGAATGACACAACTACCTAGGTAGGGATGTCAATGTACTGCGAATGGAAAACCACTTGTTCTAGAAGGTATTCCTGAGAAGCAGAAGCTCTCCTATCGAATTGCTTGCCATTCTATGGCTGCCTAAGCAGGTAGCACTCAGAGAGAGAAACTGAAGTTGACTTTTCTGAATAATGTCTCAAACCTCTACCCTTCTGAATGCAGTGATCAATTTAATGTCCTCCTATATTCTATTCTATAATTTTCATCATAGTCACAAGATTATAAACTCATCCCATGTCATAAGAAAGATGGATATTACTTTTTAAAAGTTTGGGGGTTTTCAATTAGAATATCCACTGTTTCTGATTATCTACTTCTTTTTTCAAGGAGTATAGAAAAATAGAAATAATAAAATTTGGCTTACAAATCATAGTTATGAAGATGAAGCTGAAAGATCTGACAGGGTCCAGAGCAGTTTTCAGCTGTGGCTATATGTCTGGTCATTGTGGACTTGATGTGAAATGCCAGGTCTTATGAGACTCACCCCAATGCTGTCTTCTTAAAACTTTCTTCTTTTGTTTACAACTGGCAAAGAAATCACACTCTTTCCTCCTAAGTGTCTTTTTGCTAGATTATAACACTGGTTTGTGTGTAATATTAACTTTGAAAAGCACGTAGCTTTCACAGCAAGACACACTCGGAGTATTTTAGCTCTCTTTATACCAGTTGTCAGTTTACTGTCTGATAAAATTTTATTTATTTATTATTATTATTTGAAATTTCCACGTGAAACTCTACATTATATTATGTTTTAGAAAAAATTATATGAAGGATAGATATCTCAATTAGCATTTTGGAACTCATCTCAAGCCATGTGGCAAACCACACTTCTGCCTACTATGATCCCATGGATATCTTGGTTTGCTGTTAATAAAGATTTAAGAAATATGAAAAGCAACCTCTCTGATGGTATGCAAGAAAGTACTGATTTAAGTTCTAAATAAAGCATTTGTTAATTAAACATTTGTTTCTCAGCAGTGGCATAACAGTGAAAAGCAGGATGAGTGCATCACACATTTTTTAACAATTTCTTGATAGAATTTCTTTACTTGTCTTTTTTTATGTTGAAGAAGGTTGATTCTTTATAACCAAAATTTATCACAAAGAAAATTCAATATTCAGCAGTACTAGTAGAAAGTTGGAGGAAGAATTCTTATTGGATGCTTCCAGTCAGACTTGTTTTGACAGTGGTGGCTTTCTATCAGTTTTGAGCCATAAATTTTCTGGGATTAAAATTTAAAGGCTTTACGACAATTCTACCATGAGAGTCACTAGAATTTGGTTCTTTTAGTCTTCTAGTGGAGATTTGGGAAGAAAAATGAGGAAGTAGTATGAGACCAAGTTTTAACATGTTGCATTATTGCACGAAGCAGTAATTAAAGATTTTGCACAGTCATATTACAAAACATTGCTGCAGATGTCTATTCTAGAAAAATCAATGTAGACTAAATAGGATCATTCCAGATACTGACAAGGTATAGTCAGACCTAACAGCAAGTATATTTATATATAATTTCTCTTGGCCAGTCTGTGTTTCTATAGGACAATCTCTGCTGTTTTCCTAAGATACAGCCCTCCTAACATTTAAATCTTCCTTTCTATCAGACTTGCTGTCCTTTTCAGAAATCGTACCAGGAGTAGACACACACTTTTTATTCATGGATTCATAGATAACAGGCAAATATGGAAACTGGATGGCACTGAACAAGTTGTTCTACTAGTACTCACCAATGCCCTTCAGAGGAAAATGGCCAGCAGCACCTTTGCACTGCTTGTGCTCCTACACATGTAGAGGCAAACAGAGACAACAGTAAAAATTAATGGTTTTGATAAGTAAAACTTAATGGTTGATCTCCTTTTAAGCTGTATCTCGTATTCTCACAAACTGAAAAAATATCCTAAAAGGATAAGAACACACAAAAGTGACTTGATATGCTTAATGAGCTAACAAGGTGTTTAGCTACACAATCATTCCCTTTATATGGTTGTGGACAAGAATTTTTGAAACATTAACATATCCTTGACAGCTGCAATGACACAAATTCGCTTAGCTACCCTGACACTGCAACAATATTCAGTCATTATCAGTCAAGATCTATCTGAACAAATGAC